CACAGAAAGAGAAATACCACATGCTCTCACTTATTGGTGGGAGATAAAAATAAATAAATAAATTCACACACGCACACACACACACACACACACACAACCGGGGGGGGGGAGAAGAAGACATTACAATTCCTTGAAGTTGACACGACAAGTGAACAGAAAGGACATTGTTGGGTGGGTGGGGGGAGAGTGAGGAGGGAGGGAGGTTTCGGTGATGGGCCACAATAATCAACCACATTGTATATTGACAAAATAACATTTAAAAAAAAAAGAAAAAGCAAACAAACAAACATAATAAATAAAATAAATCCATAGAAGCAGAATGGAATGATGTTTATCTAGGGGTAAAGGGATGGGGAAATGGGGAGATGTTGGTCAAGGCATACAAAGTTTCAGTTATGCAAGATGAATAAATCATGGAGATCTAATATGCAACAATGTGACCATCACTAATAAGATTGTATACTAGCAATTCATTAACAGGGTAGAACTTAAGTGTTTTCACTACACACACACACACAGAGGGGTAACTATCTGATTTAATGAATTATTTAATTAATATTAAGTAGTGTTATTGTGATTATTTCACAATGTATATGTATTTCAAATTATCAAATTGTGCACTTTAAATATATACAAGCTTTAATTGTCAAGTATTCCTCTATGAAAAGTAAAATAAAATAAAATCACCTAAAATGGAAAAAAAAAAATTTTCAGAGGTGGCTCATCTTATGTGAGACAAAGCATAATTCAAAGGTGTCAAACTACAGAAGACTCAATGGGACAGCACCTGGGCATGCGAAGTTATTGTGACACTAGAATCCATCATCTTTACAAAATAGCTTTCTATTCAAACTTTCTCTATACCTTAAAATTGATTTTAATCATTTAGCACTCAGCATTGGACTTGATTGGCATTGAACTTTATTGTCTAGTTACAAAAATAATAATATATTAATTATGTATAATTATTAATTTAAATATAATTATTTATAATTGATAATAATAATAAAATAATAACACTTTCAGGTCCATCATTTAATTCTGCTCTCCGGATAGTCAATCATTTATTCATTCAACAAATGTGCATTAATTGATAATCACATGCAAACCAGTGTTTGGTGTACTTGGGATATGTCATTGTCAATAGACACAGATCCCTTTCCTCATGGTGCTTACATTGTATCACAAAAAGGCAAAACATAAATAAATAAATAAGAGTAAATCTAATAAATAAGAGAACAATATAATACATTAGAAGTTGATATGTACTATACAGGAAAAAAGAGGCTCCGTTGAGCTCAGTGAGGGGGACTGGGAAGGTGAGTACTGGGTGGGTTCAGGGGTGGGAGGGCTGTGCAGTCCTCACTGAGAAGGTGGATTTGAGTGCAAGCTTAAAGGAGAAAAGGAGGTGGGTCAGGGGGACATCAGGAGAAAGAGTATTTCAAGCAGAAGCCACAGCTAGAGGAAAGGCCCTATGGTAAGAATTGTCTGGTTGGTGTAAACCCAGCCAGGAGGCCGGGAAACTGCAGCAGAATGAAGGTGGTAGCAAGGGGAGGAAGAAAAGAGTCAGAAGAGATTGGGGTTCGGAACCTCTAGGAACTGAGGATTCACTGTGAAGATTTTGACTTTAGGTTGAATAGGAGGTCACTGCAATGGTCTTGTGTGCTAAAAGGATCAGCTCGGCTGTGATGTTGGGATTGAATGTGGGGGGTCCTGAAGCCCAGCCAGGACTACTGTTAGGAAAGGAATGTGGTAATCCAGAGGGGAGGGTGGAAGTTCAGACTGTGGTTCCAGCAGCGGAGCGGTCAGGGCTGGCTGAACTCTGGGGACGTTCTGAAGGTAGAGCCAGCGGGGTTTGCTGATGGACTGGATGTGGCATGGTGAAAGCAAGACAGGAACCAACCAGATGTTTAACTTAAGCAACTGAAAACAGATTTGCCATCCACTGAGATGGGGAAGCCTGTGATTATTTTTTTTTTCCAGTTAGAGGGAGACTTGGGGAGAAATTTAGGGTTAAGTTTTAGGCATATTGCATTTAAAATGTCTATTTTGATGGCAAGTAGATACTCGAATATATAAGGCTAGCATTCAGAAGAAATGATGAGGAAGACCAGGAAATAGGTATGAACTTGGAGGATTTTGCTGGTAATGAATTAGAATTCCAGAGGGAATAGTAGAAACCTTTTGTAAACTGGGAAGGAGGAGGGGTTCATAACAGAAGACACATAAAGCTTTGAGAAGCTTAGAATGCAAGGAATAAAGACTTACGTGGATTTATTGACTTACATAACAACGATTAAATGCACAATAAGATGACAGGATTCGAGAGTGACAGTGGAGACCAGGATGTCAGGTTACATGGTGGGGAAGACGTATTCCTGGGACTCACTTTTTCACGTTATGAAGAGGGTAGAGGGCATGTGTAGGTGGTGTCCTTCCCAGGGAATGGGTGCAGCCCCCAGGAAGGTGTGGTCTCAGACCAGTGACGCAGTCCTTCCTGATACCCTTGAGGAAGGGGCTCTGCTGTTGAGCTTAAGTTCACCTTCCCTAACCAACCTGTGCATCCAAGAGGCCTGGGGCATGAATGGACTGTAAAATATCAACAAGAAGTATGTAAGGGTACGTTATTTTCTGTTTGTAAATGAGAGACAGGAGGGAGAAGTGTCCGCTATGTTCAGACAGTTAAAAAAATCTAGAAAGAGAGCTACATTAATAACACGATGGGAAGGTAAGTGAACGATGTCAGTCAAAGATATCTCCCTGGACTTAAAGAGGAGGATTAAACCTTTGGTAGGTTATCATCAGGATAGCGTTAAATAAAATTGCCATTAATTCATATTTGGTTAGCATTTAAGCACTTTAGCATTTGCTTAGCAATTATTTATTAGGCACAGATACAGAGAAAGATGGCAGCAAATTTAGCCTTCAATGACTTTTAAGAATTATGTTGGAAAGGTACAGAATATACTTTAAAAATAAATTAAATCTTATCATCATTTCATCATAATCATCTTTACATTGTATCTAAACAGCAAAATTGAATCATTTATGACTTTAAATATTTACCACAACGCTGTGAGGCCAGTATCTTTGATCCACGTACAGGAACAGTAACAAGTAGCAGAGAGAGAGAGAGAGAGAGAGAGAGTTGTGTGTTTATTTGAAGTCTCATAACTAACTAATAAATGTCTAGCTCAAAGAACTGGTTGAACCAAATTTCTGAGAAACTCTTACTTTAACAAAAAATGTATCCAAAGATAAGAAAAAGTCTAGAAATCAGTGATATTAGATTCAGATTAATAAATTTCATAATCCCCAAAAATACATCCCAAAATAAAGAGAATTTAGAATGTAATTGAATCGAGTAATAGGAAACATGAGTGTATATAGGAATGGTTCTGAACATATTAATCTAGAAGGAAATGAGGTTAAACAATAAGAGGTATATAGCAAAAAAAAAATAAATGAGAAAGAGACAGAGACAGAGAGACAAAAAGAGAAAAAGCAGAAGAGAAGAAAAAGAGGAGGAGAAATGGAATTATGGATCTGACACTTGAATGTATCAGACTGTTTTGAATCAACTTCAGAACTGCCATTTTTAACTGTCAATATATGGAAGGTTTGGAATGAAAAGATATTCAAAAGAATGAAGAATTATAGTGAATGTATAGACATATTTGCTTAATACAAGGTCATTAATTTAAAGAGACCTATCAAGAAAGTGTATGGATGGGCCGGCCCGGTGGCGCACTCGGTTGAGTGCGGCACTTGGGAGCACAGCGGCACTCCCGCCGAGGGTTCGGATCCCATATAGAGACCGGACCGGGGCGCGACACCGAGGGTTGCGATCCCATTACCGGTTACGAAAAGAGACAAAAAGGAAAAAAAAAAGTGTATTTGGAAACAGAATTTGATGAGATTCTTCCATTTCTATTTTATCTTTTCTCTTTTGTCCCTATGGGAACATTTCCACAGCCACAAGGAATAAAGTGCTGACCTCAATGGGAACATGTGTGGAAACAGCATGTGAATCCTCCACTCCCCTCCAGGACCCTCTGTCAGGCTAGGAACGTATCTTGGGAAGAGAATTTTAGGAATGACCATCTCTCACATTAGAAGCAGGGTCAGGATGACCCCTGGATGCACAATTTCCTGATTCTGCTTCTGTCACAGGTGGCAAATTAAGAGGAATTGTGTCACAGATGAAAAAATAAGGCCGGAGGATACCAGAGAACAGCTGGTGAAATGTATAGATGTAAGACCCGTTTGTGACGTTGTAAAATGAGATTTCCCCGGCCTCATAGTCCAAGAAGATCCCGATGCAGTGAGGCCGTTCCAGTGGGAGGAGAGGCACCGACGGGGAGGCCAGGACCATGTACTCATTCCCTTTCAGCAGCCACATGGCCCAGACCCCGTTCTCAGGAGACGGGGTGGTGTCCCCCTTTCTTGGCACTGTGTCTTGACAGATGCCTAAACCCCACTCTGATCTTTCTCCCACCACAACCTCCCAGTAATGCCTCCCTGACGAGAAGGTCTGCAATCCCAGGTCCTGACGAGAAGGTCTGCAGTCCCAGGATACAGGGCCATGTGTCAAATCGCTCGGGGTTGTTGGGGACGTCCCTCCACAGTTCCCCATCCTGCACACTGCGCAGGTCAGCGGTCAAGAGAAGGCTGGGATGGGCCGTGGCAGGATCCAGCTTTACATCAACTGTGGAAAGAATTTTGTGGGACATGTAAAAGGACAGAAAGGACTGGTAAAAACTTAGGAATAGTCACTGAGGAGAAAAGTCATCCAGTTCCTCATTCTTCTCTCTCTAATAACTCCTAGAGAAAACTAATAAGTATTTCAGAACCTTGTAGGTCCTTCAGCATATTGGCCGTTACTGTCTAATGCATTCTACTGTTACCTCTGCAAAATCCAGAAGTCATGATCAATCCCAATAAAAAACGTACCATTGATGCCATGACAAGCCAAATGCATAATCATTTAGATTCCTTTCTTTTACATCAAAAGCATTTAGGTGCACTTAGGAGGATCTTATGCATTTAACATAAAATTTATAAACTCCTTGAGGAATTTTTTCTCAAAACCTAAAGGAAAATTTTATTAAAACCAAATCCACTGCTTTCAAAGTTATATTATTGTGATTGGCAGAACTTTAAAGTGGACCCCATGACTCGTACACCTTAGTGTTGCCGTCATGATACGTTACCTTGTATCACAAGAGAGAAATTATCTGGGTGGGTCTAATTTAATTTCATGACCTTTTAAAATCAAAAAGTTTTCTCTAGCTATTGGGTTGGTGGTAGAGAGGAAAATCAGAGAGATTTGGATTTGATATATCACTGCCAGCTTTGAAAATGAAGGGTCACATGAGGAGAAAGGCAGGTGATCTTTAGAGCTGAGAGTGGCCTCCAACCAACAGCAGGAAAATAGGGATTGCAGTCCAGCAATTGCAAGGAACTACATTACGACAATGACCTGAATAAACCTGGAAGTAGACTCTTCCCCAGACCCTTCAAAGAAGTTCAGAC